TTGGCTCTGTCAGAGTGTAACAATAAACCAACTCATTGTTTTAATCACAATCTTGACTCGGTTCTATCATATGGCATTGATATTGAACATTTAAATCTTCACAAATCCTCTCCTATCTGACCTTATTTAATAATTTTGAATATACTATTCAGTTATAAGCCATTAGGCAAGAACTTCCTACGCAGATCTAATCTGACAGTGCTGTAAAGCTAAATTTTAAGGAGGAGATTCCTTTCAGTGTTCAATTCAATGCAGTCGAATTTAACAGAGTCTCTTATTAACTTTTAGTCCCTCCGAAATGATATCTTGTTATAGTGTGCAGGCTCACTAGTGAAGAACATTAGAACTCTATCGCCTTCTATTAAAAGGAATATTTGAAAACATATTAAAACTAGCACGTGGACAACACCAAGGACCCGCCCAATTAAAGGCAAAGCTTAGAGAATCGGAAAGGAAATGGCGCTCTTCCAATTTATCGAATATCACTCATTGGCAAGATAATCTTAAAACTTATAGAAAGGCCGCTCGTGACGCCAGAGGAGCCTATTACTCAGCACTAATATGGAGAAAATAAAGCATAACCCTAGGTTCTATCAGCACTGTAGCAGGGCTGACAGAGAGTCACAGCTCTATTGAGCACATTCCCCATAAACTTAGAGTAGCCAATGATGTATGGCGTTCTTTTATAAATAAAATTATTACTATTTAGAGAGAAAATTATGGCCAGACCTGCCTATCACAGTTATCGTGGCTCTCAAGTTCAGGACTTCTAATAATGTTAATTTTAACTATATATTTGAATGTTTGTTGTTAGTCAATCCCACTAGGCTGCTAAAGAAGTGTGTATCTAGATTGGCCACTTCTGGGTTACGTACTATATATATTAATTCTTTCCTTATTATCAGGAATGTGCCACAGTCCTTTAAGTACGCTGTAATTAAAGCCCTCCCTTAAAAGCGCCACTCTCAGACCAGGGGGTTGTTAGCAAATATAGACCGATTTCTAACCTCCCCCTTCCTCTCTAAGATTCTTTGGGGAAAGTTTTAGTCCGGCTAAACAGTGTGTGACTTGTTTCCATAGCATTTTGTATATCGAGATTTCAGTGCAGGATGTTAGTAGTTCATCACAGGCACAGGTGTGTGAAGTTTCTTATTTTAATTGAGCTTTTGATTGCTTCTTGACAATGATTGTCTTGTACTATGTATTATTAGTCTTAGTGCTGCATTTGACACACTGACCGACTTAATATTCTGTTTCCAGAGACTTGGGATCAAATTGGCATTACAAGATCCGCACTAAGCTGGTTTAGTCATATTTATCAGAATTCGTCGCAGTTTGTAGCTGTTTAACGCATGAATCTTCAATAAAGATATAGAGTTCAGTCATGGAGTTCCCAAGGTTGCTTATTGGACCAATTCTATTACTTTTATATAGCTTCCCTTTAGGCAACATTATTAGGAAATCACTCCATTGCTTTCACTGTATGCAGGATATACGGCATGTTATATCTATCAATCAAGCCGATGAATTAAGTCAGTTATCTAAATTACAAACATGTCTTTAAAGACCATAAAACTGGATGAGCTGCAATGTTTGATGTTAAACTCAGAAAAAATTAAATTCTTGTACTTGGCGCCAAAAATCTTAGGGACTCACTGGTCTAGAGTATAGTTACTCTAGATGGCACTACCTTGGCTTCTAGCACACTGTCAGGAATCTTGGAGTTGATTATCTTGATCAGGATTTGGTCATTTAACTCCCATATAAAAGCAGTCTCTAGGACTGCCTTCTTTCATTTTAGTATATTCAAAATTAGACACATCCTTCACAAAAGATGCAGAAAAACTTAATCAGCATTTGTTACTTCTAGGCTGGATTACTGCAACTCTTTATTATCTATGTGTTTTGCCCTGAAGTGGTAAACACGCTCCAATTAATCCAAACGCTGCAACGAGTATTGACAGGAACTAGAAAAGAGATCAATCCTCCTGCTCTAGCTTCTCCTGCTGGCCCTGTTAAAAATTTAGAATGAATTTAAATTTCCTCCTACCTATATAGCTCTTCATGGTCAGGCCCTTGCTTATCTTGAACGAGCTCATAGTACCCTTATTACCCTCTAGAAACTACGTTCTCTGAATGCTGGGGTACTGTGGTTCCTATAGTCTCTAAAAGTAAAACAGGAGCAGACCTTCAAGTTACCAAAGCTCCTCTCCTGTCAAACCAGCCCAGTTGTGGTTCGGGAGCAGACACCCTCTCCACATTTTAGTAGGTTAGAGACGTTCTACTTTGTAAGCTTCATATGTTAGGGCTGGGTCAGGTGAGCTGAACCATCTTTGTTTATGCTGCTATAGGCCTAAGATATCGGGGATTCCCATGGTGCACTGGTCTTTTCCTTCTCTCTCTCTTTTGCATCATTCATGTCCATTAATGCATGTTATACTTCACTTCTTCCCCGGGAGTTGCATTGTGGCTTTATGTCTTGCAGGTTTTATCGATCTGGTGGAGCCTTCCTGCCATGGTCCTGCTGATTGCCATTAATACTGTGGCTATGCACTGTCTGTCTGTCTGTCTTGTCTGTCTGTCTGTCTGTCTGTCTCTCATGTCCTGTCTGCTCTCTTCTCTCTCTCTCTTCTCTCTCTCACCCAACTGCGAGACAGAGCGACCACCCACCTTGGCCGAGAGGATCTTGTCCTATGGTTTCTTGCCGTTAAAAGGCAGTTTTTCCTGCCCTTCCTTGTCGCCAAGTGCTTGCTCATGGTGGTACTGTTGGGTCTCTGTAAATGTTATAAGGAGTTCGGTCTAGACCTGCTCTATTTGAAAACTGTCCTGAGATAACTTCTGTTATGAATTGGCGCTATACATATATATATATATATAATAAAATTGAATTGAATTGAATTGAATTGAGACCCTTTTCCAGTGGTTGAGATGGGCCGGTACTCACCAGTACTGGTTTTTATTAAATATTCCTTCCTTAGTTTAGGTTAGGATTAGGGTAATGTTGTGTTTTGGGTTAGGGTTGTGCTAAACATGGGGAGCGAAGGCTTGCCTGTGTGATCCGGTCCAACAGAAGAGCTACTGTACCTTAAATTGCTGAAAAAGTTAATGCTGGTTCTGATACAAAAGTGTCAGAACACACAGTGCATCACAGTTTGTTGGTATGGGGCTACATAACATTATCACCACCAGCATACCCAGGTGGTGACACTGTTATGGCTGATCAGTGTATATATGCTTTAATGTGGGTCCTGCTTTATCAAATTTTTCCTAGTAGGTTAATCTAATCATGTGTAAAACTATAATCTGGAAACCATTATCTGGAAATTGATTTTATACATTTTCAACCCATATTCACTAAACATGTCTATGGTCATTATACAATAGACATACATTGTTAATACAAACCTTCTGTTTTTATTTTCAGTGCAGTTCTAACCAGGGCAAACAGTGTGGCATTGAAGGTGACTGTTCCATCACTGTTGAGAGGCATGTTCATGGAGACCAGCCTCTGTAGACACAAAACACAAAATCATATCGGATTTTAAAAACTACTTACAATCAACTCAATCACTACTAAAATACTTCTTTAATTTAAGTTTTTGTTTCAGATCATTCTTACTTTTAAGTTTTTATTAAATATTCCAATATCCAAGGGCAGCAGAGCATCTGCGTAGTACCAGCAGCGTGATTGCCATGTGGACATTATATCCCTAACCTATACTATGTGGTTGTAGTTGTTTAACTTCACCTTTCTATATTTGTCCCAAAAATTAAATATGTGTGCACATTTCTGTCCAGGGAGAGAGAGAGAGAGAAATGAAAACTGAAAGAGAAGCAATTCACAAAGACCCGAACTTCAGGTTCCTGATTGTTATTAATTTCTTTTTTTTTGCCACATACAAAAAAGCATTTAATTAAAGTTCAATGGTAAGCTTATTCCATGGTCAGATCTGTGTTTTGGAGGCAACAGCTATTACACAAACCTTTTAGAATAGCAGTTCAGGTGGATAGAGATTTGACACAGATTTGTAACTGGGCTACCTGCTTGAAGGTGTGTCTTTACAGGCAACAGTGATGTTCGAGAGAGTTCAAGATTGAATGAAGAGAGGGAGCATTGTAAGCAGGAACAAAGCAGTGAATCAAATCAATAAAACATTATGAAACAACTGTTTCATGGTGGTTAAGTTCTAATGCCCAAATACACAAAGCCACCTTCCTCCTTGCAATATGTAGACTTCTTTTTGAAACATGAAGGCTAACCTACTCTGTGGTGTCATTCACTCAACTCATTCAGGCTGAACATTTTTCCCACCTTGCAGGCAATACGATGAGGACAAAACTTTCCAAAACCCAGAGGAGGAGGTATTCTCCGTAGCAGAGTCACCACATCAAGGTGCTTAATACGCCCCCTGTAAGGAATACAATAATTAAAGGATTTTATACTCACACAATTACAGAGGGTCTTTCTCAAATTAAATTCAATTAAATTGACTTGCTAGCATAATGTTAGCTCTCTGGCTCATAGCTGAGCCAAAAGGCTTGATGAGCTGAGTGGACTAGAAATATCTCCAAGGCAATCCCTTACTTATCAGAAGGACCAGGCCATGGATTTCCACATCAACATTCATTGTTTTAATGGTAAATGGTATATGGACCTGTACTTGTATAGCGCCTTTCTAGTCTTACGACCACTCAAAGCGCTTTTACACTACGTGCCACATTCACCCTTTCACCCTTTCACACACATTCACTCAGTGATTGCAAAGTCCATCAAACAGAAACTAACTAATTTATACACCGATGCACATTGGGAGCAATTCGGGGTTCAGTATCTTGCTCAAAGATACTTCGACATGTGGCAGAAGGAGCCGGGGATCGAACCAACGACCTTTCACTCTGCCTCTAAGCCACAGCCGACCCATCATCATCAAAGGTTACTTTTCAGGAGTTTCCAGAGGCTGCGAGTCAAGCTGCCAGACACCCCTGATTTGCATTAAGTTGCCTGGACCTCTACTTTATGCCAATCAGTAGCAGCCAACATGACACCCCATCTCTTGATACGCACTAGGGTGCTACTTGCATGCATTGCATAGCTGCTCAATGTAGAAATGGCTAATTTGATTTGAGAAAGTTCCCATGCAGTGGATGAGGACAGGAAGGCCCCATGGAAGAGCTGTGCGCTAGTCTAAAATGGAGCTGGTGGTCTTGCAGGTGATAATTGTGGTCTCACCAATGTGAGGTTATTGTTTCAAGTTTATGGCAGCTTATGAAGTTTAAAACGTAAGTTGATCTGATATTTAGTTTTAGTCCTTAGAATGTAGCATGCTGAACCTTGAAGATGTGTTATGTTTTATATCTGTCATATGACCAATGATTAGGGTCACGCTAA